GTGTGCAGTATAGTTCATTGTTATTAATAGTCTGCAATGTACCATGTTGTTCTTAATACTCTGTAGTATACAGTACCATACTATTGTTCATTTCCAGTATACTGTACCACATTATTATTCATGATCTGCAGTCTACAGTACCTTGTTGTTGTTAATGCACTACAGTAGGGTTTCCCAACCATTTGATGACTGTGGACTGCCACAGATTGTGGAAAAATTGTTAAACTGCTAAATACAGACAGTAGACCAATTTAGTTTAGCTGTTTCCCTTTTTTTTCAGGTAAGAACGTGCAAATCTCAGGGGTCAAAACTATATACCCTTCCCCCAAACCCCAGTGTTCTGCAGATTGGTGGAGTACTATCCACTGATCGGCAGCGGCGGATGGGAACCCCTGTTCTACAGAATACTGCCTTGTTATTAATGCTCTGGTCGGCTGGCTATATTGTAACTGTCATATAAAGATAAGTTAAGTACTTTGCAATTTATGCTATCGCTGCTGTTGCTATGTTTTTGCTCCTTCTGTAACATTTGGTTGTAGCAGCAATTCCTTCACGCTAAAATATCTGCCATTATAGCCTAACAAGAACACTAAATACTTGAAATAGATAATTCGTTACCTCGAAGCCCCAGGCCTCCTGTACGTACTACACATATTATATTCTGCTCAGTGGTATAATACATAAGAATAAATAAGATATATCCTATATTTTTGCCTTCATTTAGCTTTCTCGTACTACAGTATATTCCGACTGACAAACATTCTATACATTGGAGTAAAATACCATGAATACTATATCCTCTCCCATGGCACCACTATAAAATGTTTAATATAAAACTGCTTCTTTGTTTTTATTAACAAATCCCTCTAATAAAGTTTGTATATATAGAGTATATGTGTATTTCTGTGTGGGAATTTGTCTTTGTATACAAATTATATTTATGTGACTCTATCAAGAAATTCCTAAACCTCTACAAATAAGTTAACAGGTCCAGGTAGTTACCCCAGCCATGAGCCCCACGCTGTCTTGGATAAACTCCACCCTCCATACATCATACGGCACGATGGATGGATAGAGCCAAGAGCAATGTTAATGCAATAATTAGACTGTAATTTTTGACATGTTGCAAATGAAGGGCTATTGAAAGCCACTGAAAAATAAAAGTAGATATGTTACATTCATATATTCGCAAGTGAGAATAGTACAAAATTTTAGGCAATTTACCATTTTTAAGTTTTTTGTTGCTTGACAAAATGTCATAAAAATACAACTGGGCATTAGTGCAATGAGGAGAAATTGCGCATCAAGTGTTCATCTTAGTTCAACACTTAGTGGGTTTTACAATTAGGCTGTGATTGATATATCAGCTCAGACATGGAGTAGGGGGCTAAATTAGTTATTGAATTGCCTTCAGGCTCATAGCATCCTTTTTACAGAACCTGGGCAGAGAGCCTGACAATTGCATAAATCATGATATCACATGTTTGTGTTCAATACTTCTAATACAAATAAATGGCTCTCCTTAATCTAGAGGCGGGCAGACTAGGATTTATACCACGGGTTCCCACCACTTCTGAAGGGCTTGAAAACACAATACAATACACAAATACAAGTTTGCATTAAGCTGCCTAGCTAATTCTTTACCAAAATTAAAAGATGACAATAATTTTCACTGTATTCACGGCCCCAAACTACACGCTCAGTTCGAGGATACTCTGACAGGGCTGCTCCAGACTCTACTACTGTCCCACAGGCATACAGGTATCATTACACATTAGTGCACATGAACAAAGCACTTCATACTGCCTGTCAGGGTGATATAAATGCTTTCCGATGCATTGCAGGAGTGTCCTATACCTCATGCTAAGGTCTCTGAACAAGTGCATAATTTATTATTGAATTATAATAATAATTCTCAAGCTTTTTTTGCCTGCATTTTGACTTAAATATATGGAAGACACACACACACACATTCATTTCTATGTGAATAACCCTAATCCCTACAATGACATCCTTAACCGCTACACAGCACTAACCTTAAACATAAGTAACTAAACAAAATACAAGACTTTTGGCTATTTTTAGTTTTTTTTTTTTTTTGATTGCATTCGCAGACTTTTATAAAATTGAGGCTATGCTTGTTCCCTAACATGACCACCTAATCCATGTCAGAGGGACATTTTTACTTTCATAAGCAACATTATTTTTCAATACAGTTCTGGCATTTAGAAATCTTGGTGATAAAAATTCGGGGGGAGGGGTGCTTTTCAGTAGAACCTTTATATTGTTAAAGAAAGCAAAACCTAGCAAGCTTTGCAGTTTTAATTAAATTATCTAATATGTTGAACATTACTACATAATTTCTGCATGTGCTTTTAAGCCAATCCATTTTCCTACTCGCTGTTTAATTTCCTCAAAGAGGTGTTTGTGAAATTGATTTATTTTGAACTCATTTTTACTTTATAAATACTGCAATTTTTATCGCAACAAATTAATTTGTTCCCCCAATATTCTGCAGCTGTAATATCTAATAACATATTATGCAACACTCAAAATTAGGTAGTAAAGAGATGTGTGGCAGAGCAAAGTACCAATGTGATGTGGAACAATGAGTAGAATATAGAAAAGGCTGCAGCAGTATTACAAAATTAGCAAGTGAGTGTACAACATTTCATACCACAACCTCATACAAACAAGTATGACTGGAAACAAAGGAGTCAATCAAGATGGTTTCCTCGCAATGCCCACCTGGTGGACATGACCTTTAATCCTGATGTAAAGTAGGCAAGAAAAAGCAGCTGTACCGCTTGTGTAGTGACGAAAGGCATGAACGCCAGTCGTATGCTTTGAGTGTAATCCGGCCCTAAGGGAAAAGCCTTCAAATACTACAGTAAGTTATTTTATGTATTTCTTTGATTTTCGCTAATTCCCCGGCCATTGACTCTGTTTAATGATGTTAAATCCATGATAAACTAAGTTTCTTATAGTTTTTTTGCTTTGCTTGCAGGCTGGAGTGGTGTCTCTGAGGCTAGGGATCCGTACCAGCATTAGGAAGCTTGTTGGTCCATTTGGATTAGTGTGGTGCTGAGGTACCACCCACTGCACGGCTGGCCTCAGGGCCTCATGCCTCAGGTGGTTTGTCATGTGCTGGGTGTGGCAATGTGCTGTAATCAGTGCATGCTCCATATCTCCTGCTTTTTGCTTGGCCATTTTTTTTCACCTTAGAGTATACTATGCATTTTTATCTCTACTCCAGCTATATGAAATAATAATAATAATAATAATAATAATAATAATAATAAATTGAAAACCATTTAAAACGTCAGATTAAAAATGTTATATTTAGCAATTAATATTAATTAATGAATCATAAATTTCAGTTCTGAGCAAATCTACATCAATCACTGCCTATTTGAGTGTTTTTGGAATTGTCACATTTGTTGTGCTACAAAAAAACGTTAATGTATTTATTTTTGTGTTATTCTTACTTCTGATCTACAAAACCTGCACAACATTTTGAAGATGTAAGAGAATTTTTATTGTGAAACAACAGTTAATATACAATTAAAAATAATGACTTGTTTGGATAAGTATTTTTCTCTCTGTGAAACCACCTTTGGTAGCAGTTACAGCTATTTAGTCTCTATAGAACTTTTGCAAGTCTGGAACATTCATTATTTGTGTATTCCTTTTGAGAAAGTTATGGATCAAGGATAAAGAATCACTGTAGCCTTAAAATTCTATATAATAGTTTTTAATAAGATCTGAGTCTGGGCTGTGACTGAGCTACTTTGGAGGACATTTTGTTTTTCTTGTTTTAAGCCAGTGTACAGTTTACTGTGTGCTTTTGGTCATTACCCAGCTGAAGCATCAATCCCTGTCTCAGCATTAGGTCAGCTGCTGACTGAAGCTGGCGTTTTCAAGGTTTTCCATGAATTAAGCCCAATGCATTTATTCTGTTCCCTCAAGCTACCCAGTACGTGCAGACGCTGTCACAAGCTGGTGAGATGTCACCTGTGTAACTGGTGATTGGAGTCAGACATACATTTAGTCCGCAGTTTTACTGGACTATGGACTTGATGTTTTTAGACTTCCACAAGCCTTTTAGTGAAGTCCTAGTGGATTTACATGGTTCTTTTTCTTCCAGAGAGATTTCTGACATGCCTTACTTACAGACACATGGCTCCTCCCGTCTTACCCTTAGATGTCTATAGGCTTTTTATCGTTGTCAGTCTCATTGGGTGATTTGAGTCACAATTGTCCTTCTGACCTCGCGGATTTGGGAAGTGCGGCTCTAAGTAGATTCTGGGTGGTCCTGTTTATTTTATGCTTTAAAATGACTTTGTCCAAAGAGACATCCCATGCTTTTCAAATCTTTTTATACCCATTCTTGATCTGGGTCTTTCCGTAACTTTATCCTATAGTTGTTTTGACAACTCTCTGGCCTTCACAGCTGTCTCTCCAGCTTTGCCTTGGGTGCACTACTCAATTGTGAGTCTTACCAAGACACATCCTGCTCACGCAGTAGTTACTAGTTTTGAGTTAGCAACTGAAGTGAAGAGCATGATTTTGGAATGTGGAGGATAAATGTATTGAACAGAGAATGACAATGTAAACACAGCCACAACATGCAGACTTAAGTAGTCAGACTTACAGAAATGCTGAGCCACTGTAATTTCCTATCATTATATATTTGTTCTGCGAATAAAAAGTGGAGGACCAACATGGAGGCTCAGTGGGTAGCTTTGCTGCCTCGGTGCCTGTGTGCCACCTCCGCTCTGTATGTGAAGTTTGCAAGTTCTCACCGTGTCATACAGCTTTCCTCCCACTGTCCAAAGGCATGCAGTTACATGAATCGCCATCACTAAACTGTCCATGGTGTGTGTGTGCATGTGTGTGTGTGCATTCCCTGTGATACACTGGTATCTCATCCAGGGTGTACCCAAGATAAACTGATGGCCCGCCATGTCCCTGTCCAGAGGAAACAGCTAGAAGATGAATTAATAAATGTATAAACCATATATTGTACATCCATCTGTCTTTCATAACCACTTATCCAGTCAAAGTTTGCAGTGAGTCTGCAGCTTAATTAACTAGCTTTGTAGATTTGTTCCAGATAAGCACCATTAGCACATACAGTGAATAAGAACTGCAAAACTGTCTGTAGGTATGAATGATGTGAGTGTCCTGTAATGGGTTGACATCCTGTCTTGGGTTAATCCCCGCCTTGCTTTTGGCTCTGTAAAGTGGGTATGGAAAATGCATGGGTTAATAACATTTCTCTTTTGTTCCAAAGTTATTATTTGAAATTATTGGCGTATATTCTGACTTACCGATATGTATCTTATGGAGTAAGTCAGGTTCACCCATCCATCTATCCATCCATCCATCTTCTGTAACCGCTTGTCCTGGGGGGTCTGGAGTCCATCCCGGAGGCTACGGGCGCAAGGCAGGGAACAACCCAGGATGGGACGCCAACCCATTGCAGATGTCAGGTTCACAATTATTGAAAAAGTCAAAACTTCTGGTTTGATTTTTTTGTTCTGTGGTTACCAGGTGAGGGTCTTTACTGTTTCTTTGATCTTCTAGTACAGATATTTCATTATTGCCAATATTCATTTCCTATATTAATTACACCACGCCACTATGTATTTATATGATTAATTTATATCACCTCCTGCCCTTCAAATTTTATGTTTAAAACCCATCACCTTCGTTAAAATTGTTCTGTGACCTTAAAATAACAGCATATTGTTCTTCACCCTGTGGTTCATGCAAATTAAACTTCACAGGCTTTCATACGAAAGTGTTACAACATGTAGAACAATTGAATGATGTGACAGCTGACATTAAAAATCTACCCCTGCCCGGAGATATTTTGGAAATCCAATGGTCTGAAAGTCAGAGAGGGGCACCGTTAGTGTTGACAAAACATGATACATGACACAGACAAGCAGAACTATGGAAATATGCTTGGTGAACAAGGCTGAACGTAACATATAAAATACTTGGACTTGAGAACAGACTGCTGAAATACATTTCTTTAATGAACTGCAGTTAATTATAAAATCTGAACATCAGTTCAACTATGAGTATATAAAAACTCCATCTATGCCTCAAAATAAAAAACATTTCAAAATTCTTCACATGCTATCTCCCAGTGGTAATCTAATGACCCTTATGGAACATGATAGATATTTCCTGCCCTATAATTTCTTTTTTTTTTGTACAACAGCCCCCCCATGCCCACCAGAACCAGTTTGCAATTTTAATGAAAGGTCCATGTCGTTCTGATAATTACTCACAAATTAGTTCATAAGTCTTGAACTTACAGCTTCAAACATGAAGTTGGTGTCAAACGTTACATGGTTCAATTACACCCCGGGAACGTAATTAGTCTAAGGGTCCTTCGGGATTTCTGTGAAATGTGTGATGACTCTGCTTTGGTCCCTTTTTAGAAGGATGCAGATCCACTACCCGTTTCCTTTTTTGGTGTTGAAAGCATGGTGGTGTTGGCGCGACATATTGCATGCCATTAATGGTGATGCCCGTCTGCAGTGCAAGACTGCTGAGAAGATAACATCATAGAGTCACACTTCATGGAAGTTAAACAAACGACGGGGCAGCACATTAGACATTATTATAAAGGGCAGTTAACAGTAAGGACCTGCTTATTGAAAGTTAAGTGCAACTATTTAGTGGGTGAATGTGTTATTCTCCCATCATGCATTGTGTGATGATATGGCACAGGGTCATGATAACACTCCCTTCTGAAAGCATCACTTCAAAGTATATTTTTGCTCCACTGCCAGAGACACACTGCCAACGCGCTGCCTGCTGATGGTAGCACTTCTAGGGAATTTGCAGGCTGAGTTCACTGTGTCAGGCAAATGGCCGGGGAATTAATCTTAGGTTCCTTGGATGTATTACAAAGTGTCAGATGCACCATTTTGCCTTCGAAGAACAACAGTTGGTGCCGTACTTTGAAATTCCTTACGTTTTCCTAATCTCTTATTCTCCCATTACTCTAAATCAGCGTGAATGAAGTAGGGGGCATCATTTTGACATGACCCCTGAAGTGTCTCAGTTCACTTTGTACTTGAATTTCTCCAATATAATTGGGTAAAATAATAAGCTGATTCAGAGAGATGGGATGATAAAAAATAAATTTATAGGCAATAGAAGCAGATTTTCTTCTTCTGCAGTATCGATTAAAATTATTATGTTTCAGGCCTCTGACCAAAATCCCTGTTAAATGAAGATTAGAATCTATTACCAAATACGAAAGAAAAAGAAAGCTCCTCATTAAACTTCCTCATTAAAAACGGCTGTCCATTGTCACTAGCTCTCTTACACATTCAGATGGACGTTTACATGGTGGGATGTACACACTGGGTTGAAGCTCACATGACTTCCACTTGAATGAACACCTCCCACACACACCACCTGGTCTCAAGCCAGTGCTTCATTGGACGGCCTCTGTGGCAGCGTTTGTCCTTGTTGTGTTTCCATGAAGGGACTCTGTTGTACTTGCGAGCCATTAGTGTCAAGAGAAAACTGTTTTTTAGGCTGAGCCTGTTATGGTACAACAGAAGAAAAAGTAATACAATGAAAGTATATTGCTTATAAATAAATTTTTATGAGCAATACTTATATTATGGGGCACGGATGATTATTCGTGATTTTACGGAATCATCTTTTGCGAGATGTTCCTGTATAGGTGGGGGAATGTGGTCTGTTTTCTTCCATTTTGACATTATATTTACTGTATTTCAGTTTCTGTCTTTCTGACTGCTTTCATCCCTCAGACCATATTCTGTCCGCTACTTTTGATGATTTCGGTGACATCTTGAGTGTGTGCTTTTTTTTTTAGATTTCAGTGTGCCTGCCCGCCCCCTGCCTACACTTAATACTATACTTTTATTAAGGCTTAGGACTGCCAGTGTCATGTTTACATATATCGCTATGCTTTTCCTTTTCATTTTCAGCTTTATATCGATATATATACCATCACCCTGCATAAGACGAGAGGGTATAGAAAATGGATGAGTGCCTGCATGTATAATCACATACGTCTATGAAGTAAACTAACCGCACCCACTGTTGCCTAAAGCTTCATACCATCATTTCTTGCTTATCAACTTTTAGTTTATATGTTTTTTTGCACCACTGCACAAGCATATACAGCACATCTTGACCTTCTTCGTAGTGTTGTGGCATAGTGAACAGGGGCGTGCTGTTCAGCTACTTTCTCATATGTGGGAAAAATTGCAAAAAAAAAAAATGTATCATTAGAAATACAGTTTCTTGGCAAAGTGACAAGACCACCCATTTACCTGGCTTGCTGTAGCAGCACGACTATGTCCATCTAATGTGTGCAAATAACACAGTCCCTCAGCCGGCTTCCTCCTCCCACACAGCATGCCATTACTGCTGCTCTCTTTCAGTTTATCACATTTTCATTTTGTCACTTTCATTAATGTCAAAGCATGCTCTGTCCAGTCTTATGGAAAAAAAATAAAGATTTATAGCCGGGCTTTTTTTATTTGACAGTGGGTTCTGCTGCAGTTATTTGTGGATTGTGTTGTTCCTTGGATCTATGTAATATGACAGCAACAGGAAGTGAACCAGACAGCGAAATAGCTTCTGTCTGTCACACGTCGCGCATTGAGTGTAGGGCTGCAATTATGCACTGTGTACATAGATACTATGAAGCTCTAGTTACATTAGTCTTCCCAAACATGTCAGCTTTAGCACGATTTACGATTTGCCCTTTGAGCTTCCTTCAGGCCATGCTGAGGAAATTGCCCATAATTCCCTGAGTTCCAGGCCATGCTGCCATCCTCAGGACTAATCAGAAACTGGATGGTATACATAGGGGTGCCACCGGAGATTTTGGGCCCCAGGTCAGCATAACCAATTATGTTCCAAATTTTTTAGGGCCCTCTTACAGCGCCCCTGGGTGCACATATTAATTAGGAATAAAACAGATAATCCAAGTTAGTTCCTTAACTTGTTCATGTATTGATATTATGAACATTAAGGTTTGTAGATTTATGAATTCTTAAAGATAAATTGCTAAACATGTTTATCCAATGTATACAGAATTGTTGGGACTTTCATTAAGTAATTCCAATGAACTGAAAATGAGTTAATATTTTCACTTTCTGCTCATGATCCATTTGGTCATGATTATTAGGACAATTACCAAGGTTCATAAGCAGATCAATTAATATTCAGTGAAACAAGAGACATGATTTAAGTACTGTTGATGGAAATGAGCTATAATGGCTTGAGGCTTAAGCACAAACTTGAGTGTTCATTACATGAAATCATAAGGAAGCCATCTAGAATAAAATGATGAGCTTTCCCCAGTGATCTGGAGTGTGACACGTTAATTAATATAACATGAGTCAAATTGCCCATAGCCACAAACAAGTCAACATGGAAGTAACACGTCTGCTCTACTGCTCCTCCCTGTCTTCCTCATACCATGTTTGCTGTCCTTTCTGGTAATTCCCAATACCTAGACTGGAAAAATACCATGAACCATACATGCATTTAACAAGATTTCACTGAGTCATTGAATGAAAAGCAATTAAGATTCCATTTATGACTGAAATTGAATTCTTATTCGCTCTGCTATGCACTTTTGTCCTCAACTCCAGAGGCAAATTTAAGTGTCAACAGTTACTCTTATTTCTCCTTGCATTCCTTTTATTATTCATTCTCTCCTGATGTCACTCATGTAATAACTTTGTTTTTAGTGGAGCCAGATAAAGGCAACTTCTCCACTAGATGGAGTCACGAACAGAACAAATCATTTATCACTCAAAATCAGCTGTCAAATCATGATATATCCAGAAGTATGTAGATATCAACTCTACAATTGTCAAATGTCTCATAGTGCACTGCCTCCACATTACGTAATATAAAGAAATATAATCACCAACTTGGATGCAGTACTTTTCTGCATAATATATGCATCCCAATTCCAACCTTTTAGCTATTATAGGTTCATGGGGGGGGGGGGGGGGTTGCATGGGACACAAGGCAGAGGAACGCCCCAGGTACACACACACAGGGCACAGACACACACACAGGGCACACACACACACGCAAATTGCATGGCTTTTAGACTGTGGGAAGAAACTGTGAGGAAACCTATACAACACAAGGAAGACAGATAAACATGCTCAAGAGCCCCTGACCCTGGAGGTATGAGGTGCTACGGAGGTGCTTTGCCCCTGCAGTAAAGTATGTGTATTACAGTTAAATATGTGTGTGGCAGTGTCAGTCAAAGTAAATGTCAAGGGCTTATTGAGGTATGCATCCAGGAAATCAACTAAGGACCTTCTGCCATATATTGTTTTTAGCTAAATGAGCTGCACAGCCTCCTGCTCCTTCTCCCTTTTCAATGTAAGCCACTGTGATGCT